GCTGTGAGTTTTCAATCCATTAATATCAATAAAACACTTAGGATGGTAGATAACACATTATAGCTATTACAGTCACTCATTGTTATTGCTCTACTCAACATCCTAGTACCTGGTTTTTACTTCAAGATAACCTCATAGGCCAGAATGACTGCTAGCACTCTAGCCATCACATCTACCTTCCTGGCAGGATGATGGGGGCAGTTCTTTTAAGGATACCACTTGAAACAGCCACATTCATACACATCTCATTGACCACAACTGAATTCACTTAGCCATCCTTATCTTTAATAGGGTCATTTAACTGAGCTTCACTAATTGAGTTTCTGTCACCAAAAGAGAAAAGCAAAATGGTAGTTACTGCAACTGGCAGTAATTATGCAATGAATAGGAGGTACATGGTTCTATGAAGGCTTGTGGGAAAAGCATGTGACATGAGAGACAAAGCCTCTTTGAGACAGTGACAACTGACCAGAGAACTAGATGTTTGCCAGGGAGAGTGGTCCGAGGAAGAGTTCTAGGATGAGGGAAAAGCAGATATAAATGTCTGTGACAAGAGAAGGCATGGGAAATAGTATTCTTGCTACGCCACACATCATGTGCCATGTGTTGAGAAACATGGTGGGCTGGATTATCTGTCCTCCATCCAGAGTCCTCTGTAAGGAGTGGTGCAGGATCTCTCATCTCCCCTTTGCTTATGAGTCATGCTTAAATGGAATTGCCTACAAGGTTCCCAGATCCTTCAGTAACTTGGCTTGGTGCTGATACCACTTGGCAGCATGGCAACCAGCATTGTGAGCCTAGTGATTAAGGCAGAGGTGGGATCACGCAGAACCTTGGCTTTGACTTTCAATGGGAACATTTCCTGACTGAGTCATCTTGGCGAGGTATTTAACCATTCTAAATATTGTCTATTTCCTCATCTGTAAACTGAGAATGATGCTGATATCTAATCCAGAGATTCAGTGTGAGAACCAAACAAGCAAAAACTGGTGAAGTGTATAACCAAGTACCTGGTCTATGGAGAGTGTCCACTAAACATGATCATTTTTGTTAACCCCGTCACCTTCATCGTCATCACTTTCTTCTCCTTCATTCTCTTCTGAATGACACATTGTCTGTCTTTTTTGTTTGAATGGGAAGTGTCACATGAAGTATATCCTGCACTCAGCATTTCCTTAGCAACATGTAAGTTTACAGCATACCACTTTCTTCTTTCTTTACCCTTCCTTTAGAAAAACGACTTGAGGATGTATGCGGTTAATACCCAGAACCCTACCATCTGGGGCATAGGCCTGGGAGGAACTCAATGCTGCCTGCCCAGATCCCTCGTGTAGTAAATGAGGAGAAGACCTAGAGAGGCTGAGCCTGCCTGACAATGCCTGACAAGGTGGCTTTAAAGAAGAAAAGATCAGCCGGGCTCGGTGGCTCAGCCTGTAATCCCAGCACTTTGGGAGGCTGAGGTGAGTGAATTGCCTGAGCCCGCGGGTTTGAGACCCGCCTGGGCAGCGAGACCTCATCTCTACAATAAATAAAAAAATCAAATCAGCTGGGCATGGTAGCACATGCCTGTAATTCCAGCTACTTGGAAGGCTGAGGCGGAAGGATCGCCGGAGCCCAGCAGGTCGAGGCTGCGGTGGCCGGGAGCGGCCACTGCACTCCAGCCTGGGCGACAGAGTGAGACTCCAACTCAAAAAAAAAAAAAAAGAAGAAGAAGAAGAATAAAAGATCCCCCTTGTGTGGAGAGGAAGAGCAGTTACTGTGCCTTGGACCGCGTGATGATAGGACATTCCTAGGCTGGTTTTATGCACATCTGTGGGTCAGGGAGACAATGCACACATATCAAAGTCTATATCAGGTATACAGGAACCCAAGAGTTTCATATCTGTTCTTCCAACAGAGATGATTTTCTCTTGAAAGCCATCAACTTAGGTTATCAACATAGTATGTGAGGGGTATAGATTCAAGGCAGTTACCCCAATTACCTTTCCCTGGCATCAACCCTGGTCTTCCCTCATAATCAGGTACCTTATTTAACAAGGAGAGTACCAGTCATAGCTTAGAGAACTTTGGACGTACATACAGGAAGGATTCCTTCTCTGCCCTCATGGGCTTTGTGACCTCACAGGGTAGAGAGGCAGTAAACAAATAAATGACATAGTCATTCTTAGAAGTGTGCTCAGAACAACAAAGAAAAAGTACAGTCAGATTTTTAGAGATAATCATGTTCAGAAATATATTTTGCCATTTTTTACTTCTTAGCCCACAGCAAATGGTGCTAATTGGTTATAATATTCTTTCCAATGAAATTCAGACATAATTTCAGAATCCTTCTTATACAGCTCTCCAGACAGCCATTACTAATTAATCAGAGTTGGCTCTCGAAACAAAACTTATCAGCTGTCCAAGATCTGGCCCATTTCCCCACCCTCCCTCCATCATTCCTTTTTACAGACAAGCACACGGGCCAGAGGCTGGAAGACACATGCCTTAAGACTCCAGCTAGAGGCCAAAGCGGACCCAGCATCTGGCTGGTCTGGCTCCAGTGAGGGCCCTGCGCACCATTTGTGAATGCCGGGTGAATGATGGGTTGGGGGGGCCACTCCCAAGCAGTAGCATCTGTGGCTGTTGAGGATCTGATCTAAATATGTTCTGTTCTATCCTGAGACTCCTCCCCAGAGTTCCAACCTGGTTAGGGCATTGCAAGCTATAATTTACATTATTTAAAAGCTCCAATAGGAAAGTTGCTCTTTGTTCTCATGAGTTATTTCTTGAGGAAAATATATGTTTTGCGGGGAGGCTGAGGGCAATCTTAAACTGAGGACATCACCACAAAGGTCTGGTCTGTCATTTTCCTTCCCAGCATTTCTTCTCATGTGCTTAAATGAATGAGTCAAAGAAGTGTTTCCTGTTCAACCAAGGTAACATTTTAAGAAAGGACAAAAAGAAAGGGCAGCCGTCCTGTCAGAGAGGCCTGTGAAGTCCAGCAGTTTGTGCAGGACTTACCATTTGTATTTTTTTTGCAGTCCATCAAACATTTTGTCATCCTTATGACCCTTGTGCTTTCAGAGACATGAGCTGTGATTCAGCACAAATACTTTCCTAAGAAAACCGACATTTTTCATTCCACAGTGTTTGTGTATCCAAAGTTTCTTTTCTGTTGTGTGAAAAGATGTTTAATATTTCAGAAACTTTTCTTCAAGTGAGTCCTCATTTTAGGCTCAGATTCTCACCTTGTGGTACATTTTTTTTTCTGGACTCTTGAGAGACCCTGAAGGAACTCTTGAGCTTCCCTTTTGAATAGGTGCGTAAGTAGGAAGAAAGAAACAGAAAAACATGCCTGCATTCCTGTCTTCTTAGATTGGGAGACCTGTTTGGGATCAAAGTGTTGGAAATCGAGTCTTGGAAAGCCTGGGGCCTGCCTTTTGTGGACATTCCAGTATACTTTTGGAGACAGATCTGTAATCCAAGACAACTTGTCTGTGTGGGTTTGTTGCTCTGCTCTTTGCTGGGCTCTATCCATAGGAGCAGAGGCTTAGGACAAAGTCAAGAGAGCTCTGGTCTTAATGCACATGAAGAGAGTGTGTTCTTCCCAGAATAAAAAGAACGAGAAAGGCAAATAATTCAAACAGAGACCCTTGGGTATGTGACTTAGTTGTTTTGCATCTTCTAGCACTTCTGGTGGTATAAGCTCTAGAGAGATAGGGATAAAATCTGCAGTCACAATCCCCAAGTGTCTGCGGTCTTTATTCATGGGTGAATTGAGCTGAATCTGCACATTCTAAAGTCAAGCAGCACAGTACTACAATTTATTATCTATGAGGCATTGTATAATTACTTACCTTATAAACTCTATTTCATTTTTCATCTGTAAAATGGGGATACCTAACATTGGATTGCTATAATTTAATGGGACAATACAAGTAAAAAAGCAACACAGTGCTTGGTGACAAGTTTACGCTTGATAAATGTTAGTCTCTATGACAAGAGGTAAGTCTCAGTAGTGATGTAATTCCTAGATTGGGTATTTTATAACGTGTAATGTTAATTCCATTGCAGATTTAGGAAAAAATATTTTTCAAAACACTGCATGCTATAATGGCAATCCTAATTCTGTGGCATTAAACCACACTCTGATAGTCTTAATGTAGAAAAATAGGCAAATATGTCTCATAAATGTTTATCTTTTTTCCACATACCTGTTAACTTCACTTCTTTGCCTGTGCCATTGAAAAAGCGATTATATCTTATTTTATGGATTGACTGACTGCCTTTTCATTGTTCTTAGAAAATCAGCTTTACTTTAAATGTACAAACCCTTGTGCATACTTCCCTAACTGCCAATAAAGGGAATAGTTAGTGTGCTACAAAGCAAGAAAAATTGACTTTAAAAACAGATCATTTTTCTTGCAGTCTTACCTTTCTGTAGAACGGTGTTATTTAACTTTGGCACCATTGATGAATGGGCCCGATCATTTTTTTTGTTGTGGAGGACTGTCCTGTGCATTGTAGCATGTTTTGCAGCTTCCCTGGCCTCTACCCACTGGAGGTCAACAGCTCTCTTTTTTTATCCTCGCACCCCTAGTTGTGATATCCCCAAATGTCTCAAGATGGTCCTCCTCCAGCTGAGACCTTCTGGCCAAAGGAAAAAGGAACAGGGTCATCAAATTGTCTTCTTTGGACCACTGGATAGAAAAACCTTAGGTCCAGCTGGATAGGAGGTTACCAAACTGCTTTGGGCATGGTGATTCCCAAGACACATGTGGGAAAACTCATACATTATGTTGATGCCACAACATCAGACAGCAGGTCAAATAATCAGTACTGTACCTTTATTTTGAAAAATAACTTGACTTTAGTTTTAGTTCACTCTTTTTTTTCCTCATTTTGGTTTTTCCATTTGCCAATGGCTACAAAATAAAGTTTTATAGTTAATCTTAACTTCTCATATAATGATCTATTTTTCTTTTTTGTTTTATTTTGTTTTCCCCCTTCAGCTCCCTCAGGCACAAAAGGTAAACCCTTCTCCATCACATTCCAGTCATTCCAGAACTCATGAGCCGTGCATGTCTCCATGGTGCTGAACATCTGGCACTGTTCATGACCAGTGAAATGGTTTTCCTCCTACAGCTTCAGAAACCTGAAGCTGGGCAGGAACTGAAAAGTCAATAGACTCAGTTGTCCACTACCCCTTTGCCAAGTTAGTCCTCCAAAGAAGCTATTGTGATCAATTGTTGCCGGGGACAGGGGATGGGGGGCGCTGGGGAGGGAGGGTGAATCTATACCTGATCATTTTCTTAGGAATTTTCAGGTAATAGGTCAAAAGTAAGTTTGGGACATTCCTTCAAATATAGCATTCCAGGACTTTCCTGGGATAATTTCCTAGGGAGACAAATAATATGAATAATCAGTAAGGCCCAGAGACCAAGTTTAAATTCTGGACTCCTAATTCTGAAAACTTCCCTTGGGTTTTGTTAATTTCAAAATCAACAGCTCCTTTGCTTATCTCATAGTCCATTTCACCCAGAGAGCACTACAGCAGAGTTCTTGCCAATGGCCAGACCCTTTCACTGGTCCTCATTGTCTGAGATGATCTGGTTCCACCACCTAGAATGTTCTCTGTTCAGAAAGACTCCATGTGGTTGCAGTAAAAAAGCTAGTAGCTTTGCTGTGTCATCCCCATGGCATGTCATTGTATTGTGAGGACATTTATGACAGCACACATGTCACTCAATGCCTGCTGCATTGTTCTTGTCTATTTCACAAACATAAGCAAGACTTCTGGAAGACGTAGCAATTTCTGGGGGCCAGATGTATGTTAGTTTTGTTTCAAGAATTAAGGTAGGGTGCTACGTTGAAATTTCAACATCTCCTACACTCTACAGTTTGGAAAAGAGATGATTTGGTTCTTTCTCATTGAGAGAGATAATCCAACTGCTGTGTAAAAGACAGTCTGTTCAGACCATATGGACAACCAGAGGCCTAGAAATCATTACACAATTACTCAAATATATTTGAGATATTTAAACAAGGCAAGACGTGCTAGTGTGTGACTTGGCTTGTGGTAATGTTTGATTACACTTCAATGCCATCACAAAAGGACTGAACACTTCATTAAAAGTTGAAGTATCTGAGGCTAGCAACAGCTTCAGGGTAAATCCATGGTCAGAATTCCAGATTGTTTGGAAGGCTCAATGTCTTTGATAGGACATGCTTTCTTAATCGCCTGTATTTGATTTTTTTTTGGGGGGGGGAAGATATTTAACAAATTATGTGCCTAAAAATGGACTGGCCCTAACTTACTGACATTTATTTATCAAATTCCCAGTGATCCATGAACAAAAGTGTTCATGTAGAAAATGCCTCATGAATTGGAGGTGTCATCAGCCATGGAATTTTAAAACAGAGTTCAAAATGAACCAACACAAAATATAGTAAGAACAAATGTTGCTGGGATATATGATTCTTCAGTTGCACTTACTTCACTGCATTCATTCCTTCTGTGGTCATGCACTTACTCACATCACATGCCCTGCACATTTCTGTGATCATATCAAGTTCACAGTCAAGGAAAGTGCTAAGCTGGCTTTCTCATTTTCCCCCTGTCTTCAAGTGATGTCAGACAGTCCCAGGAACGTGTTCTGTAGCCCAGTGTAACTAGGAAAAACTCTTCCTCCTGTTCCTATCATACCTGCAAAATGTCTTTTTATTTTTTTCTGTTAAAATGGTGAAAGATACTTACCTTAAAAAAAGTATTAAGAGATCTGTGCAAAGTGTTTTCAGAACTCTGTGGGGATAGTTTCTGGGCAATTCAGCTCTTTGGAGAAGTTTGAATATAAACCTTAGGTATCTAGGCTAGCGGACGAGGGGATTTGAGGAGAGAGATGCTGCAGATTGAAGGCATCTTCTCCCAGGACTGCAAGTCTCCATCTGGTGCTGTATCAGCATCAGTATCCCTGTCCCTACCTCTCCTTGCTTCCTCTTCTCCAGTATTACATCAGTGACACTTGCAGACATCTTTGCTAAAAGAATGAATTTCTTATAAGCATGAGTTTCCCTCAAATATACTCTCCTTCTGCTTGACTGGAAGAGGAATGTGGTGGGTTCCATTCTCGTCTTCATCTACTTATGACCATGGGCAAGTTAGTTAACCTCTCTAACCCTAAGGATTCTTATTTATTTAAAAATGATGATACATTAACTTTCTAGTTTTGTTAAGAGTGTTTATCTCTTACCTGTGCCTAGCACACAGCCTGACATTTGCTGGACACTCACAAAATGTAGGGTTCTTATTACCATTTGGCTTGGCTGGATCCCTGATACTTTGGAGCAGATCAAGAGAACAATCAGGATGATCTAGTTCATGGTCTAGGACCTCTGCACAGTGTTTTGTGGTTCTGACTTAAGTCTAGTGAATAATCTGCAGGAGGCAGAAGAGCCCAGCAGGTATGTGGTGCTCCTCTCATTCCATTCGAAACTCTTTGCATTGACTGACTGCACCTTTGCTTGTAGTCAGAAAGAAATGGAGATTGAGCTTGAAACCCCTACAAAGCAAAGACTTTCAGAGAAATTGTTTTGAGAGATGTCTTCCCCAATACCTTTGACATTACCCATAAATATTTCACCCACCTGTGGACGTGATTTTAATGAGCTTCTTCCACACTCCTGAGTTTGTTGTTCCAGGGGTAAAAAGGAGGCATCCCCTATCCCCAGCCACCACAACTTTAGCCTACTTTTCACATGAGGTCATGAGTGCATACGCTGGACCATATGGTGTCTACATTTGTGCTGTGTTTTTGTTGGCATTTGCCTTTGTATCATCTGCAACTGTTTTCTCTATAAATATTTCAAATAGTTATGTGTCTGTAAACATGCTTATTTTAATCTCTTGGCTGATCTACAACTAAAAATATCTCTTTTGGGTGTCCCTCTTATGAGTAGCAGTCATTAAAGATTGTTATCCATAAGTTATGGTTTTCATGATTCTAATATTTTGAGGATCTTGAAAAACTTCTCTCCTAGCCCTTTATGACACTTTTCTAGAAAATACTTTGCAAAAATTGTTTGTTGTTGTTTTTCCTGTGATTCTTAAGCACCTCTAAAATAATCCCAAGACTCTATAAATACAAACCCTTGATATAAGAATGTTAAGACATTTTACCAAATATGGAGGCAGTGTCCTAAAGTTTTGGCTAAAAAGCATGTAGCAATACAGGCATGGCACCTTTAAGTCATCACAAATTCATACTTTTTGGTGGAAATTGCATTCATTTCTCCAGTGAATTGATTGTCCTTGAATTCAGCAATGACAAAGGGTCTAGTGTGAGAAAGGTTTGCCTTTTTTCCCTTACATGGTTCTTCTTGACCTCTACAGAAATGTCTCAGAGATCCCATTGTATAATAATGACATAGCAGAATTACCCAAAGCCATTTGCAAATATATGTTCAATAATCATATTATTGAACAAAATAGTCAATTTTTCTAACTATGTACAAACTAAACACCAGTTCACTGCAGGTTAATTTAATCAATGTAGATGTAATCAGTGTAGAGTGGGTCTTGAATATTTAAAGTCAAAAATACTCTTTGGGGAATTCCAAATGTGACTGTTTACATGAATTCACTTGTCCAGACCCCTTCTGTTCATTTTCTGCTGCATTCACACAACTTTGGAATTAACCAAAGACCATTTCTTAAAGGTTTCCTAGGTGCTCTGTGTCTTTCCTGGCACTCTATTGGTTAATATCAGCCTGAGAATTCTGAGTAGGCATAAGCATTTTTCTCAAAACCATAGTTAAAGCAAACCACATCTCTAATCCTGTTTGGAGCAGCAATTGATGCATTCAGGGCTGCACAGTATGGCAAAATGATCCCTGTTTAATAGCCCGACCGCGTGTTTTGTTTCCTGTTAGGAATAGCTTAACTTGCCTTCTTGAGCAAACACAGCAGGGTTCAAGATCTGTTGTTCTATGCCTGCTGTGATATTCTGTGCTGCTTAACTTGTATGAGGACTCAGGAGTGCATAAATTAGCTTCTTAAATGGAGGTTGATTTTTGGTCTTTCTTTCAGGATGGAACTGTTCTATTAACCGCCCCCCCCACCCCAGTGTAAATGGCATCCTGAATCTATTTGCATTTTCTTTGTTTCTTTGCTTATATTATATTGTGGAGGAATAAATGGAAGTTTCATTTATCTAAAGTTTTTCTTCCCCTTTTCTTTCTCCCTTTCTTTCTTTCTTTTCCTTCCTTCCTTCCTTCCTTCCTTCCTTCCTTCCTTCCTTCCTTCCTTCCTTCCTTCCTTCCTTCCTCTCTCTCTCTCTCTCTCTCCCTCTCCCTGTCTCTGTCTCTTTCTTTGTCTTGTTCTTTATGTACAAACTTGTGCAAGTAGAATTAGGCCTAGCTCTTATCTCATTGTAATCAGATTTCAGCAATTGTAAGGTATCATTTATCATTCTTTGCCTCATTTAACTTCCATACTTTGAACTGCTGAATTAACTGTCATTGACGATAGAAAATTGAAAGTTTGCAAAGCTGCTATTTTTGTAGAACTGCAGGTCTGGTGATTTTAGTGTTTTATTTCAGTTATATAACCAACTAAATCAATGCAAATGAAGTGCAAAACTGAGAGGTGATAACTATTTACATTTGGTTTTGGCTTATTACTCGTTTGCTTTTACCTTTACATTGCTTTGCAAGTAAACTATTATGTCTTATTTTGATAACTCTGTTTTTCTCCTTATAATTTACCATTTTATAGTAACATATGCAGGTACCTTTTGCATGCACTCCCAAGCTGGGGCTGTTAAGATTGATATACTCAGCAGTCTGAAAGATGATAGCAGGCAGTGGGTTACAGTTTAAATTATTAGATCTATTTTCTGAATAAGGTCAGGGAGCTAGAAACCAGGGCAAGTCTAGTCACTTCAACTCTTCCCATGGCCAATGCGAGAATTCTGTGGAAATATGGGTGATAGGACCATAATGATGGTCGCATAACCATTTTGTTCTCTGTGGT